AATAAATAATAAAGGAAAGTTATTTGATGGTATATTTGATGGTAAGGTATATTCCCAGTAAAGTGATTCATTTACAGATTTGTTGATTGGTTACATCCCTTACTGGTCACTAAAAGCTTACAAACAAAGCAAGGTTTCAGGTTTTCAAGACCTCTTCTTCAGCCATGGATGGTACAGAATTCTGAGGTGGACGCAGGCATGAGAAGTCCACGAAATCAAACCAGATGCAGTGACTGTTGGTGTTGAAGTCAGACCACTAGCAAAGCAAAATGGAGATTGCAGTTTCCCTGTAAAACAAAGATGTCTAGATAATCAGTCTCTTTTCTCTTTGCAGACATAGGCCTGGCTAGGACTATAGATCAGTCAGCCACTTTAGCAAGGAGTGTCACTCTTGTGTTTGCTTAGTTAGAACAGGAACAGAGGAACAAGTCTTTATGCCAGCAAAACATGATAAAATTTAGATAGGCTTAGTGGGAAGATTTAATTAAATCTAATTAAGTAGTCATACTTAATGGTTGGTTTACAACAGTGTAATTGTATGGAAAAACTTCCTTTGGCAGTAGAACATATAGTGTGTGTGTGTGGGGGGGTGATGAGGGTTTGTACTTCTTTACCTGATTTGGATAAGAAACAAATACAGAGCTGCTTGTCACAAGCGTGCTTATGGTGCCCAGATTTCTAGATGATCTCTCCCAGCAGCTCTTGTTGATTTAAAAAATCATGGATGAAAAGCCGATGTCCTGTGAGATCCCATAGCAAAGATTGCTCTCCAGTGCTACTTTCTGGAAATAGGTCTGTAGGCAGTTTCGAAACAACTCTTACAACCTTGTTCCCAGGTATTAAGCTAGAAGAATATGGAAGTAAGTGGTATGAAAACTGCAAAGATGTAAGAACATAAGAAGAGCCCTGCTGGGTCAGGCCAAGGGCACTGATCATTATTTAAATGATAAATGATAGTCCAGCTTCCTGTATTTCACAGTGGCCCCACCAGATGTCTCTGGGAGCACATGAGACAAATAGATACCTATCTCCTGATACCCCTGCCCTGCATCTGGCATTTTGAGGTACTTTCCTTTTAAGTCTGGCGATTATACATCCCCATCATGGCTGTAACCTGTAATGGACTTTTCCTCCAGGAATCTATCCAATCCCCTTTTAAAGGCATCTAAGCCAGATGCCATCACCACATCCTGTGGCAAGGAGTTCCACAGACAAACAACATGCTGGGTAAATAAATATTTTCTTTTGTCTGTTTTCGCTCTCCCAACACTCAATTGGAGTGGATGTCCCCTGGTTCTAGTACTGCATGAGAGGGAAAAGAGCTTTGCTCTATCCACTTTATCCATCCCCTGCATAATTTTATACGTCTCAATCATGTCCCCCCTCAGGTGCCTTTTCTCTAGACCAGGGGTCCTCAGACTTTTAAAACAGGGGGCCTGTTCATTGTCCCTCCGACTGTTGCGGGGCCAGACTATAGTTTGAAAAAAAATATATGAACGAATGGATTTACTTAATAGGTGTGAATTTTTTTTGTTCTTAAATGGAAAGTTATTATAAATTAATTATTATAATGTTAATAAGTGATTAAATGGAGGATGAAATTTTATTTCAATGGCAAAAGTGGGTATAAATTAATGATAATGTTAATAAGTGATTAAATGGAGGATGGCATTTTATTTCAATGGCAAAAGTGAGTTTAATTTTTTTTAAAAAATCCTGCCGCACATGAGACTGCTACAACTCATTCAACTGTAATGGAAAAATGGAGAAGCTGTCAAAAGTTCCTTCAGTAGCCCAACACTGACAACAAGAGCAAGGTTCAACCCATTTGAGATTAAGTTCTCATTTTCTCCTTAAGATATATTCCATGATCTGCACTCTTTCCTCCACATTTAGGATATAGCATAGATCTTCATACTTACAATTAAAACCTATGCATATCTATTCAGAAGCAGTTCATGGAACACAGCAAGACTTTACTTCCAGACCATGTATTTAACTCCAGCATTAAACCTAATATGGAAATGAATCTCAGACGGTGTAAAGTCTGAGCTCATCAGGTGATAGGAATGTTTCAATACTTTTAACAGGACCTACTTTTTTTAAAAAAATCCCGGGTCTATTTATGTAGTTATTTCAAGTTGTATAATTCACTTCCAATTTATTACAAACCTACTGTATTATTTAATGATTGCCCAAGAACCTATTATTAGCATTCACACGTTTTGTTAACTAATGATCATGGCGTCTTTAAATATTGAATAAATAAATTATGGTCAAAGACCAGCAATATATTACAATTAAAATATAATTTCTATAATCTCAAAAAACAGGTGATCCATTATAAAACATGAATTTCCATATTAACATAGTCTTTTAAGACACCTAATAAACAAGACATCTAGTAAACAAGCACAGATAAAACATAGGCCAAATGTCATTATTGCATCATTGAAGATTCTTTGTCGTAACGTTAGGCCAGAGAAAGAAAGGTCTTCCTTTCTTCTTCGTGGTCTCTGTGAGTGCACACAAATGGGTTGTAATGCGCCTGCACAAAACGTCTTGGAAGATTCTAGAGCTTAAAGTTACAAAGTTAGTGGGACGTTCCCCCGTGGAGCACATGCTCCGCCCACCCAAGATTGCCCTCAGTTCCTTTTTTCCGCCGAGCTGATCAGACCTTCAGAAGAATAGAGCGAGTTAGAACGATTTTGAGCAATTTATTAGTGATTATTCATTACTTCCTCTTCTAATCAGAACCAAAGTGATACCTTCTTATTTTCAATCAAGTAATCTACGTTCCCCTGTGAGTTATTCTATTTTTTTACCTTTCCCATTTTTGGTTTTCCATGCCCCCATCTTCAATCGTTATCCCTTCTGGTTTCCTGCTCTTTATGGCCCCGCCAGCCCCGTTTAAATGCTGTGTTGGCTGTTCAAACAAAATACAGACAGCCACGAGCATTGTTTATTCTGCTTGGGCGAGCAGCACCCTATCCATATCTGTGCGGCTTGTAAAAAGTTAACAAGTCCTGCACTGAAACTCAGGCTCCAGAGGCTCCAATATTTCTTCTGGGAGACGGTCATGAATCCTCCATCAGCATCCATGGAAGTGGTGAGATCACCAGCCCCATCAGTAGAGCGGCAGATTCAATCTCCGCCAGCTCCTTGCCCAATGACTCCGTCTCCGAGACCCAAGGAGACTACCGAAAAGGCAAGACCGGTGTTGAAGCAAAAATCGGCGTCGACGTTGAAAGCCCCAGCTTGATCACATGAGCCATCTAAGAAAAAGAAAGAAAAATTAGTTGCCAAGAAGACTAAATGAACCAAATCAGTACACATTGAGCCCCCACTTGCCTTCGCCAATTTTAGGAGAATCATCTAGGGAGGCTCATGGCTCAACTTCTGAGAGAGACGAGTCACCACCAGCAATAGCTCAGGCCCCAGTATCAACTGTGAGCCTTTCTCCTCATACTGGAATTTCAATGGCTGAGGCACCATCCAGTCAGGCCTTGGCCCATACTAGCCCTTCTTCAGGGCGGGTGATAGAGACTCTACTTTCTGGGTCGGAATCTTCCCATTCTCCCCAAAAACATCAGGAGAAGCGGAAGCATATTTCTCCACCTCGACCTCTTCCTCCCTACAGAGAATACTATCATTATCCAATGTATCCCCGATATCACCATTTCGACATGGATGAGAGATTTCAACACTTATGACCCGTATATGATGCATGCACATCATGACCAACCATATTACGAGGAATCAAAATGCGTTCGGTATGCTTCACCATCTTAACATCAACATATTTTATCACCTTCTTCTTTGCCACCATGACACTGCCATCGGTCTCAACATGTAGAATCGACCATTCCCACACCTTCAGTTCCACCTCAATTAAGCCAAAAGCATTCGAAATCGATACTTCAGACCGAACATTTAAAACTATCTCGGTATGTTTCTAAGCAACAGCAGTCAGTTCATACAACAACCACATTTGTCGGCTATCATCTTCCAAGTGAAACGGAACCACATCCACCTCTATCTTCTCTCCGAGCCCAGCTCTCTTCCATACTACTTCAGGCACCCATTGCTAGAGATCCATCACCATCCTCCTCATCCTCTGTCGAAGACATCAAATCTGACTCATCGCAGGAATCACCCGCCAACCTTCTCACCCCCACCTCTGATGTTGATGATAATCGTTCTTCATCTCCTTCAGAAGATTTTAGATCATATTCCCAACTCATACCCCGAATGGCTAAAGCTCTCCAACTCCACATCAAAGAACCTCCTTCACCTAAAGCTCAACTCATTTTCGATGACATTAACCAGGAAAGGACACCTCCACTCAGCCTAACTTTCATCAAATCAATGTTACAACTAATTAGAGAAGCATGGGACAAACCACCATCCACAATGCAAATTTCAAGACGTACAGAAAATCTGTATAAGACTCATGGCCCAGACACTGAATTTTTCGCAAAACACCTTCTTCCAAATTCAATAATTGTAGATTCCAACCAGTCCAGGGCACAGAATAAATCGTCGGTAGCCCCAACTAATAAGGAAGGAAGAAAAATTGATATTCTAGGCAGAAGGATTTATTCACTCCAATGCTTCCTCCTGTCATGAGTGCATCCAAAGACCTGGAACCAGAAGGGTTAACTGAGGCTGAAGAGCATGCTGAGAGATTGGAAACACCTGAACCGCCTCCAGATTCTCCTTCCACAGCAGACAAGCTTCGGGCCAGGCTTTGGGAAAGACTTAGGACAAGAAGATCAGAGGATCGCTCAAAGGCTGTCCACAGAAACCTACGTGCATCTAGTCCTGAGTATTAACAGGATAGAAAGCTTTTCAGCAGCTCTAGGAGCTATTTTACTATAAAACAGCTCCCAGTGAAGCCAGAAATTCTGTGGAAGCAAAGAGTCAAAACCTTGGCTTGTATCCACGCTTCTTGAACCGTGTTCCTGACCCTGAACTCTGCCCTTAGACTACGCTGGTATTGGACTTCGGACTCTGACCCTGGACTACGCTGTGTATCGGACTCTGGACTTCGACACTGGACTTCATTCTGTGAGTTGATTTATGGACATTGACTGTGCATTCTTGGTATTCTTGACCCTGGACTGGTTTATCGGACTTCAGCTGTTATAACCCCCGGGAACGTGACACCTCCTCTGAACTGCAAACTACCAAGCGGTGATGGGGGCTTACCATCCCCAGCGTTGGAACAAAATTCTCCCTATCCTTGAGTCAGCACTTGAATCCATCAAGACTGAAATGATCAATGTCCATACAGAGGCCACTACGTTGGCAAAACAACAAGGAATTGCGGCTCTCTCTGAAAAGCCCCCCAACAGATTGTAATCCACAAATGTTTCTGCTTGCCTGGCGGCCATTCACCTCAAACTCATGGTGAGTGCAGAGTCCGCATTTGGCAGGACGCTGTCCTAGGAGCCTGTGGGTGCTCCCACTGCCCAGCCTGGGCAGCCCCCTTAGCAGCCAGGGTGCACCCTCCAGCAAGTCCCAGAGGAAGGGCATGGGTTCGGTTCCCGGGTCAGGGGCCCAGGAGCCATGGCAGTCAGCCAGCTAGCCCTGGAGCCTGAAGAGTGAAGTGGGATGAGCCGGCAGGGAAGGAGTGGGGATGAGCCTGCCTGGGCAGCCCTAGCGAAGGGGCAGCCGCTGCTGCCTCCTCTTCCATGTCCTGCCTGGCCAGGGGTCCTCGAGAATATTAATAAGTCTGTAGACCAGGGGTCTATAAACTTTTCAGCGGGAGGGCCATAGATGCACACACGGAATCCCTCCTGCACACCTGCACTTCTGTGCCCCCACAAGCCCACCTGCACGCATGCCAGGCCGGATAGAAAGGCATGGTGGGCCAGATGTGCACCATGGGCCATAGTTTGGGAACCCCTGCTCTAGACTAAAGAGCCCAGAGAGCTCCCTTCCTCATAAGGGAGTTGCCCCAGTCAAGTCATCATTTTAGTTGCTCTCTTCTGCACCTTTTCCAGTTCCCCTGTGTCTTTTTTTTTTTTTTTTGAGGTGTGGCAACCAGAACTGTATGCAGTACTCCGGGTGCGGCCTTACTAGCGTTTTTTCTTGGGATTAAGTCAACAGAGTCACACAGAAAGCAGATGATAAAAGGATAGACTTGAAATGCATAAATATTGTTAATCAATTTCTATGCAACTTCTATGTATACTTTGTAAAAGTCATTGTTTAATCAAATAGAAACATAAAATTATATTTGAAGCTAACTTTTGTAATTTAAAACAATCATTTTATGAAGTTTTATAGATAAATACAGTGGTGCCTCGCATTACGATGTTAATTCGTTCCAGCGAAAAAAGCCCATAGAAATGCATTAAAACCCGATTAATGCATTTCTATGGGCTTGAAACTCACCATCCAGCGAAGATCCTCCATAGCGTGGCCATTTTCGCTGCCCATGCAGCGAGGAATCCATCCCAGAAAAGAGCAAGGAACCTTTTTTTTTTGTCCCGGTGGCCATTTTGAAACCGCCGATCAGCTGGCCAAAAATCGTCATTTTGCGAGAATCGGTTCCCGAAGCAGGGAACCAATCATCGCAAAGTGAAAAAAAAAACATTTAAAACATCATAAAGCAACTGCTTTTGCAATCGCAGAAAGTTCATTGTGATGCGATTTCGTCGTTAAACGGGGCGCTTGTCTTGCGAGGCACCACTGTATAGATATGAACATGTGTTAAAGGGTCATTGAGATACTATTTTTGGAAATGGGATCTTTGTCACTCTAGGTTGATAACATTTGTTGTTTCAAAGTATGTAACATACTGTCATGAGCAGTCTCAGGGTTCTTCTCCAAGTGTTCAGGCAAAGTTGTGAAACTTCTTGCTCCACAAACTTCTTGCAGACACAGAAGCACTTGTGCAGATTTTCCTGCCAGTAATGGGATCTACCTTTTGTTTTGGTATGAAGATAGGATGGAAGAGGCTGTGACCCCTGTTCACCATATTAGAGGCTTCACTCTTGAGAGTGACTGCAATTGTTGATGATTTGTATATGTTTGTTACCCCTAGGTAATGTGGAAAAGGCTGTGACAGAACTGATGATTGATTTTGATGGAAAGCCAGAGGAATGTCCTTATGAAGTCTTGTACAATGCAACATCCTGCCATTCTTTGGACAGCCTGGCCAGTGGAAGATCTTCAGACAGAGACTCGGTGAATAGGGAATCGGAGACCAGTATTAGAGTGAGGCCTGTATGTAACCTGATGTGTGTTGTCTTTTCCTTTTTATGGGAACTAGTCTGAGATATTCACAAGGCCTGTGCACTCTCCACAGTTGCAGTAAGTTGACAGCCTACCCACACCATTTGGAAATAATATTAAATAACTGCAAAAGGCTTTGATTGCTAAGCAATTAGAAGCCACCCTCTGCTGCATGTGTTATGTGTGATGCTCTGCCAGAGCTCCTTAAGCATTCTGCCTTCATGATGCAATATCTATCTGAATTTCAGTGAAATTCTGGAAAGATCTGTTTGGCTGTGGAATGCATTAACTGTATTTCATCTCTTCATGTTGCTAAAGCTAGTGAACTTGGTGTAGTTACAAGGAAAGAAGCTTGTCTAGAACATATTGTTCATTCAATTTTGTTTTCATTCAGCTTTCCTCTAGCAAATAATAAATTACCAAATTGCATGCATTTTGAATGCCAATCAGTTGTTTGTCACAGTGACAGTTTATGATTTCAGTTTAGCAAAATATCAGTTTCTTACACAATTTGCAGATGAAATCCAGTAGGTGGTGCTTGGAGGCTTTTCAGAATAACTATGTAACCACATCAAGATTCCATGTAAAAGCAGAGTCTTGTTTTAAAGTATCTGCATTTGACAGATCTAGTAAATTGTACTCTGTATGTACTGTAGGAGAGAGAAAAGTGTTCTTTGAAAGCATGCTACCTTGGCTTCAGTGTTTCTGCCTGAACAGTCTCATAGAAAACCTATTGAAGGCATATGGCCAACACTGCAGCAGATTCAAAACCAGTACTTAACTAGCAAAAACAGTGCTGCACTCTAGTGCAGTGTGTTATAAAGAACCCTGACATATCAACTACTATGGCAAGGATTTTCTTCGTGCTCTATATTGTAAAGATACAAAACTGTCCACAAATCTGCCGTGTATTGGACACCTTAACATAATGAAGGGATCTGACTGTGTCAGTGAAACTGAGAGCAATGCCACTAGGAGGCCAGACCCCATTACAAGCCTCAACTCCTAGCAAAGTCACGGAAAGTGGAATGGTCACAGCTGAGACACCAGACAAAGATTCATCCACCCTCTTCAAGGCCTCTTCTACTGAGCAGCAGTAGTAGCTGAAGGTGGTGCTGGTGAAAGAGGCAACGATGATGACACTCAAACTAACTTTTGGTAGTATTGCAAAGAAAGTGACAATGGTAAGCCCCTGCTGAACTTTCCTTACCATAAAAACCCTATGATGAGACAGTCATCGAACAAGAGGTAGTGCTGGAAGATGATACTGCCAGGTCAGAAAATGTTAAGTCAGCTACTGTGGAAGAGCAAAGGACAAGCATGAATAGCTCTCTCACTAATGACACAATTAGAATAAAGCTGAAAAGATGTCTAGTGACTGACATGCACAAAAGTGAAAGGAAAGTCCGATGCTGCATAACACATACTATTGGAACATGAGAACTATGAATCAAGGTAAACTGGAAACTGTAAAACAAGAAATGGAACTTATAAACATTTCAGTGCTTGGAGCAGGATATTTTTAGTCAGACAGCTACAACATGTTCTATTCTAGAAATGACAAACCCAGAAGAAACAGCATGACTCTTATAGACAAGATGCAGCACAGGCAGTTTGGGGCTATAATGCAAGGTCTGACCAAATAATATCAACCTATTAACAACCATAATTTAAGTTTATGCTCCAGCTATGTACAAATGAAGGAGATGAAAACTATTATATAGGCATCCAGGAGGAAATTGATCGCAGACCAAAATGACACATGCTTAGGATCATTAGTGACTGGCATGCAAAAATAGGAAACAAAGCAGAACCCAATGATGTTGGAAAATTTGGCCTCAGGGACAAAAATTAAGCAAAAGAACGACTCATAGAGTTCTGCAAAGCTAACAGTCTCTGTATTGCAAATACATCCTTCTAGCAACCAAACAGACATCTTTCTGTTATAGAAGAGATTATTATGGAAATCAAATAGACTATGTAATTGGAAGCAGGATATGGAGAACCTGTGTTCTTTTGCCAAAACAAGACCAGGAGCAGCTTGTTGTACTGATTATAAACTGTTAATATCCAACATTAGCATAAAACTGAAAAAGTACACTAGTGATGTCACATAATTAAAGCTGTAAGAAGACATTCATAGTGTTGTTGTGGAAGAAGACATTCATAGGGTCATAGCATAGTGTTGTTATTGACTAAAAAACAAAATAGTCATTTCTGTAGGAATGGGCTGTGTTTGTGTCAGTAACGCTTAGCTTATGTCTGGGGTGCAGGTAAGAGTTAAATGCTCCAAGATGAAAATAGGCCTAAAGCAGGGGAGACAGGTACATCATCCCTGAGTGGTGCAAGCCAGTGACCACATCTGATCTCGATACCATTTATACAGCCAGGAAAAAACCATGTATTTTCCCTTGCCATATTAAGAGGCTTCTTTGCTGGTTGACTGATTCTCTCAAGCAGGCCTTGGAATATCTGTTCAAGTTTTTGGTTTTTTTTAAAATTACATTTAGCAAATGTGCATTTTAAGCCATACTGTTTCAGTAAGTAATGTTCCACCCAACGCCCAGAGGTGGTGACAGGAGACTGAGGTGTATGTTCTTCTCATTCATTCATTCATTCATTCATCCCCGCCCATCTAGATCAAAGGTCTACTCTGGGCGGCAAGAGTGTTTTTAAATTCATGAGCCAGAACAGACATTCTAATCATTTGTGCTGAATAAAGCTGAGCGTGGGTTTTAGCAAAGTGTTCAGTCTAACAGATGGAGAGGTGGTAGACCTGCAGAAATCATATGGTTTTTATTTTTAATCAAGATTTATAAAAATATTGTCAAGACCAGCCAGCAGCATGGTAAAGAATCTGATTAAGGCAGTACCAACAATGGGAGGAGATGTAGAGTGCTTTTGATGGCCCTCATAATTTTAGCATAGTGTTGTTAGTGAGTTGCCACAGTATTGCTTCCAGCGCAACACTCAGATACACTGCCTCAGTGCAAGTCATAGAGAAGGTATTATAGAATTATACAGCTGGAGGGTGTCTTGGAGAGTAACTAATTGCAATCTCTGATTAATGCAGCCTCTGCAGTGCAGCTGCATCATCCCTAATAGATGGGCATCCAGCCTTTGTGTATATACAGTCAACAAATGAGAGCTTGCTTCTGCCAAACAGCTCTCGCTGATGGGAAATTTCTGTTACTGTTCAGCTGAAATCAGCTTTAGATTCTTTTCAGTTACCTTTTACACTGGACTCTGGTTACTGAATATTTAGGTTCTAATCTAGTCGGAATATTCTGAAAGTCTGATACCTGCCTATCCTTGAAGAAAACCATTAATTTGCATAAGTATTCATGCAGATGTTAAATCTTTGAGTATCTCAAAGATTTGAATGCCTGTTTCCTGAAATGATATCAGAGTCAATCATTAGATAGAGCAAGGTCCATGAAAATTTCTAATAGTCAGGAGAGAGTATTTGTTCAAGGAAGGAGATTAATTAAAGTGGATATTCAAAATCATGGATAATTTGGAATGTTCCTAAAAATGAAGGCTCACAAAGTACTCTGATAATAGGGACCGATCCACCATCAAGACACACTGCAGTGCAATTTAAAAAGCAATAAAGAAAGGGAAGGTGCTGGTTCTTTTCGGATGGAGCCTTTGTTTGCTCGAGCTCAACAAATTCTTTGCAATTACTTCTTAAAAAGGTTTGAAATTTGAAGTGAAATTTACCAGAGGCATTCACAGTGGTTTTCTGTACTATAGAAAGAGCGTCCACCTCCTCCTACAAAGCCTCCCCCTGATGAAGAGGAAGAATTTGTTGAAAAGAAGCAGAGTGTGTCCACTAAAGTGAGTTCTTTGTTTTCTTCCTGTGAAGTTGTGTTGTGGTAGGAGGAATGTTTTAAAATATTTCAGGAACCTTATCTTCTCTATACAGTACTTGTATGGTTATGCAAATGAGGCTTTTTCAATTATATAGCCTGCAATCAACTTCACCTGTATTCATGTTCAGAGCTTATAAACCTTTTATTCTTCATCTGGCACTTCTCTGGAATGTAAACTGTGGTTCAAGTGCATGTGTAGTGTTTAATGTATTCTCTGTATCTTGTTTCCCATAATGTTTTTCTTCCAAAGAAAAAGTTACTTGAGATTCAGATATAATAAGAAAGCATGGCTTTCCATTATGAGAAAGAACTTCCATAGTCTGTTCCTCGTTGTCTTTCATGCCTGTGATGAGCAGGCTTAATGAGTTTACTGAACCACAGTTCTCCTTTATGTCAGAACTCAGGAACTGTGGTTTGTTTAGGCTGGTGTCAGAGTAAACATATAAAGAGTAAAACGTGTTTTTGATCCTGGTTTGTTCTCAAATGGTAAATTCTAGTTCCCTAGCCCACTCCTTCTTGTGGATATAAATTTAAAAAACGGAAAATCATAAGTCCAGGCGTCATAACAGTTCATTTTCATAAAAAGAAACTGCTCATTACAGTGAAGTCAAGTGACTGCTTGTGCCATGTAATGTTACAGGATGGGGAAGTGTGTGTGTGTGGGGAAGAGAGCCAGATGTTGTTGGACTTCAGCTTCTGTTATATTGGCTATGCTAGAGCTGATGAGAATTGTAGTCTAACAACAACTGGAGGGATGTAGAATACATTGTACACCATGAGAGAAGAAAAATGTTTATAGGCACCTGGTATCTGCTAGCATGTATTGTGCATTTGATTTCACTGTGGAAAATATGGGGGTTTGGATGGAGACAACATTAATGTGAAGAGTAGGCAGTGGGTTTGGATGTTCAGGAAAGCACCTTCTCTTCATGGTCCTTTATTCTTTTATTATTGTCTGCCAAATATCGATTTTTCCTGTTTTCCAACACTCTTAGCATGGAACCCCTTAGACAGAATTTTCTTCAGTTATGAGTGATTCATGAGAATGTTACAATGTGCTTTGTGGCTAGTGTGATGGTGCAAGATACTTCCTATTTTCTCTATCTCTTAACACTTGGTAGGGTACTTAAGAAGTACCATGAAGCGTGCTCCCATTTGGAGTGGTAGGATGACAAGTTATTAAGAGAGGAAGTTGGTGTGGAGCTTTTAGAATGGGAGAGAAATAGCAATGAGGGATTTATAGGAGCTGTATTGAACAGAACAGTGCTGATGAGGGAGGCAATGTAGTGCAGAAGCTTCTGGCTTTTGTCTCATTATATACTGTATCTGAGGCAGCGATGTTTTAAACATGGACTGTGGCTAATGTGAGGAAGTGACCATAGTACTGTTAGTTGATTGTTATCTTGTGGTATCTTCTATGGTAACTAATGTCTTCGTGTCTGGTTAGGGTTTGGTCACCAAGAGGAAGAGTAGGGGAAGCACAGCTGATGATGAAGAGGAGCACCCTTATGAACTCCTACTAACAGCAGAAACAAAAAAGCATGTTGCACTGGATAAAAAAACAAAAGGTAAAATATTAAAATAAGATATTATTTTAATTGTTTTTGGTGTGTTTGATGTATGCCTCCCAGAGTAGTCGAAATGACTAGATGGGCGGGATAGAGATGTAATAAACAAACAAACAAACAAAATAAAAGCGCGTGGAAGCCATGTGAATCTCTAGTCTGCACTTAGGCCAAGTACATTGGAAAGCAGGGAGCAATCATGAGAGCCTTTGCAGTTCAAAGTGTAGCCTTGCAGCTGGATATCCTACAGCTTGTTGACTTATAAGTAAGTCTCACTTTATTTATTTGGATGGTTCCTTGATAAGAAGACATGGATTTGCGGCTATAGACATTAGCTACTTTTTTTTAAAACTAGCATCTGAGAGAAATGTATTTTCCTGTAAGCCATTACTTATTGTTGTGTTGTAGTTGATGAGAAAGACTAACTTTAAAGACAGTGGATCCTCGACTTGCGCATGGCTCCACTTATGAACTTTTAGATGTACATACTTCTCTGGCCACAAAATTTCACTTTGACTTGCGGCTGGAGAATCAGCTACAGACCAGAAGGGGGTGGTGAGGAAAGCGCCAAATTCAAAATTGGCTCTTTCCCCACCTCCCCCTTCCAGTCCATAGGCTGCTGATCGTGCCTCTGGATACCTTCTAGGGTTTTTCTGCTGCCATGGGAGGCATCTCGGAGGTCCGCCCCCACCGCCAATCGTGCTTCGGAGGCACAATCGGTGGCGGGGGGGAACCTCCAAGAGGCCTCCCATGGTGGCAGAGAAGCCCTGGGAGGCATCCAGAGGTCCCTCTCGCCACCTATCATGCCTCTGGAGAAGCCCTTCCTTGGTAGACGCAGTCCACCCTGGGAAAGCCTGTGTCAGCGGGGGACCTCTGAGAGGCCTCGGGCAGCGGTGATGGCGGCAACGAGGGACCCCCGTGAGGCCTCTGGTAGCGGCGGGGAAGCCCGAGGGACCCCCATGAGGCCTCTGGTAGCGGCGGGGAAGCCCTCAGAGGCCTCGGGCAGCGGTGATGGCAATGTTCTCTTCTCCCCACACCAATTATGGAACCTGCACAACCTTCCCAGGCTCATTCGGCCTCTCTGGAAGCTTCTGTGGTTTCTTTGGCAAAATCAAAATGTAAGGCTAAGACGACTTCCAAGTCAAAGTCTGGTAGATCGACACCGAAATTAACGCCGATACCAAAGTCCCCTTTGGTACCAGAGCAACAGTCCAAACCTAAGAAATCAAAAAAGTTATCCTCTGATACCCAATCTTCTAAACACCGAAAGGATAAAGCGGTCTTGTCGATCCTGCTTCAAGAGCAGCAGACTATTTGCCTGGACTCTATCTCCGTCGATGATGCTTATTATCTGCCACCACCGTCAGGCCAACCACCATCACCTTTACTGGCACAGTCCCCATTGTGGGCTAATACCTCAGCTGAGGTTACAGTGCGTCCACGTTATGACCATTTGAGCCCTTCGGGTTGCTCCATCTCCATGTATCAGTCGTATTCAGCGTCTATCTTGGCTGATCCACAACCCCTGCACAAGCAGTCTCGGAAGACACATCATACACCGGAGACCGGTCCTTCTGATGTTGATGCTCCACATCCACAGAGGTTGACAGGGTTACTGGCATCACATGACTCACACGGTACTGTCACCGCAAGAGGGTCACTCTATATGAGCCACCCACTTATTATGAAATGCCACCACGATGATACCGACATTGTCAATACCGTTACTGGCGCCCTGATACAGAGGTATACATGGAACCTAAGTGCCCTCGGTACTCCTACTACTATTCCGACTCAGATTCTGAATCTCCTGTTCAATACCATTCACAGTAACATAACCACTCCTCCCATGCAGATGACTCTTTGGTACCGCTTCCAATACTGAAGCATTGAAAGTCTTCCCGTAAAAGGAAACATATCTCTCCACATCCTCTGCTTCAGCCACTAGTGCCAAAACACTCCCGACCATAATCTAAAGTCTCGGTACCATGTGTTGAACCCACCACACATTCACAGGCCTCACTTCATAAGTTCAGGTCACTACTACCTGTACCAGCCCTTTGCCTACACCTCATGAGATTAATCAAACTCATCATTCCTCGACCTACAGGATCTCAATTATTACATATTTCCACAATGCTTCTGCATGGTAACTCTAGAATGCATGTTACCTCTCCTCTAAAAGGATGACTGGATCACGGTTATCGATTTAACTGATGCCTGTTTTCACATCAACATCTGTCACAGTCACAGAAAATTTCTCAGATTCTCCCTCGGAAATACTGTCTATGAGTTAATTCAAAGCCCTTCTATTTGGGCTTTCTATCGCTCCTCGTGTCTTCACAAAGTGCATGGCCCCAGTAGCAGCCTATCTCTGCACACAAGGAATTTCCATCTTCCCCTACATTGACAACTGGTCTCCCATCTTCAAGCACGACACAACGTAAACCTCACTCTGTCCCTCCTCGAGAATCTGGGCTTAAAAGTCCACCCTTACTCCTTCACAACAGGTGAACTATATTGGCGCAGTTCTAGATTCCCAAAAAGCATGAGCCTTCCTCCCCCAAGAACGCACACTGAAGATATATGCTGCCCTTCAGCATTTCCGACCACATGCATTAGTCACTGCACACCACACACAGAGACTGCTCGGACTCATAGCATCTACAATATCAGTGATCCAACATGCATGCCTGAAAATGCGTGCTCTATAGGCGTGGTACCTGTCCCTCTTCAATCCTATGTCAGATGCACCCACAATGTTACTGAGGGTCACACCCGAACTCGCAACACAGCCGCAAAGGTGGGACACTCCAGCCAATCTATTGATAGGCAGACCCTTTGTACCCCTCCAAACTCACCATGCAAATAACCACAGATGCAAGTCCAATTGGCTGGGGAGCTCAGTGCAGTGGCCTACATATTTACAGCCTCTGGTCTCGCTCCGAGAAATACCTGGAACTTTTGGCCATCTTGAAGACTCTCTGTGCCTTTGAACCACTTGTCACCAGTACTGTCGTGCAGGTAATAGCTGACAACACCACAGCTCTTTTCTATATCAACAAGCAGGGTGGCACCCATTCTCTCCCTCTCCTCTACCTCACCATCCGACTCTGGGAATGGTGTCTCAAGCGCCATATATTTCCAATAGTAATTCATATCTCCACTCACTGCAATCAGCTGGCAAATTCTCTGCAATGACAGAAAATACAAAATGTCCTCTCTACTGTCCAGAGCAGGAATTGCTCCCGGCTCCCTGGAAGATGCTCTCATCATGGACATCACATCTAATCTATCTCTTCCCTCCCATTCCCCTCCTCCTGAGGACTATTGTCAAGTTACATAACGAACAGGCCAATGCAATCCTCATCGCCCCATGGTGGCCCAGACAATCCTGGCTCACCATGCTCCGCTCAATCTCTATGGACTTCATCCCTTTACCTCCCATACCTCACCTGCTCACCCAGAACCAGGGCCAGACCTTTCATCCCATTCTTCTCAAGCTCCACCTTACAGCATGGAGAATTCACCCTCCTTAGCTGCTATCTTGGCTTGTGCCAGAAAACCGGCTACCACACAATGATATGCCTATAAATGGGCTGCCTTTGTTAAATTTGTGAAACAGCATCACCTTCCTACTACTCTTCACACCGTACTGCAATTTCTTACTCATCTCTTTAGCAGACCACTTTCCCTGTCTACTATCAAGGTCTACCTATCAGCTATAGTAGCCCACCAACCACACGACTGATGCTTCTACACTCTTTCATCACCCCACATTGAAACAATTTCTCAGAGGAGTCTCCAACTTGCAACCTGCCAGACCACACCTCCCTTTGTAATGATCATTACATATCGTCCTTCGACGCCTTATACTACCTCCATTTGAAGCTCTTACCACAATGTCTGACTGCGTTCTTTCGTTCAAAACCATCTTGCTTGTTGCCACCACTTCCGTTCGCAGGGCCTCAGAACTTGCTGCTCTTAGAGTTGATACCCCCTTTCTTCAATTTCATCCTGACAAGGTCATGCTTTATCCTGATGTTTCCTCCCTCCCTAAGGTTATCTCTTGAGTTTCACCTTAAACAACCCATCGTCTTACCTACCTTCTTTCCATCGCCAACCACTGACCTGGAACACTCTCTTCATTTGTTAGATGTTAGACAAGCTCTGGCCTTTTATGTTTCAAGAACTGCTACTTTTTGCATATCCAAAAGACTTTTTGTTTCTCCTTACTTACCACACAGGGGATCCCTTGTTTCCTCCCAAAACATCTCTAAATGGATTGAGGCGACTATACGCCTTGTGTATCAATTAGCCAAGAAACCTCTTCCGGTTGGAATCGAGGCTTATTTTACAAGGGCAGTGGCTGCCTCCATGGCCTTCGTTTGAGGTGTTTCTGTCCCTGATATCTGCAGGGCTGCCACATGGTCCATGCTGCCCACCTGTGCCTCTCATTACCTTTTGGACCTCTGAGCAAAGTCTTGTCATCTGTTCTTCCATGACGTCCCTCCTCCAGAAAGGTAAGCTTGTTAATCGCCCATTAGTGTGCATTTACAGAGACCACGAAGAAGAAAGAGAAGTTACTTACTGTAACCCTGGTTCTTTGAGTGGTCATCTGTGAATTCACACTTCCCGCCCGTCCTCCCTTCTGCTCATTACGTATGTATTCCTTATGCAGCGGCAGGCTGTTTGGGAACTGAGGTACTTGCCAGGACGGGCAGACCACGTGTACTAGGGGGGTGATCCTGGAGAACAAATATTTAAGCTCTAGAAGATTCTGGAAACCTAAGCGCAGATGAATCCATTCATAGATGACCACTCAAAGAATGAGAGTTACGGTAAGTAACTTCTCTTTTCCAAACGTTGAAGTGTGACTAATTTTAACTATTGTTTGTTCAGATGAGTTAGCTCTCATCCATGGTTTGATGCCAGTCTTATTTAAAAAATAAACATGTTAATGTAGATTCAGGCAGCACAAAAAGCCATACTTAAAATAGAAATAAAATCTATCAGACTTCTTGGGCCTGTACTGGAGGTGAAGGGGCACCAGGAAGAGTGCAAGCTCAAGGCATCTTGACTGTATTCTTCTGCTTAACCAGATGAAATGAGATCAAGTGTGTTTTTGTGCTGGAGAAAATCTCAAATTGTTTAGATATTTCTTGAAAGAAAATTTTTCATCATAACTTATATAGAACTAGAAGTTTTTTGATAAGTATGACAGATTCTTAAATAAGAAGGCTGTTTTGGAAGCTATCTGAATATTACAGTTAAATTTACTTAGAAAATCAGTATGTTGCAACAGCATATAGTTTACTCACAGTGTCTTTAACTGGAGCAGTGAATACCGAAGAAGTGAAAATGGAAGCTTATTTGACTGTGCAAAGGACAGAGATAAGCAGATGGAACATTCAGGATTGGAGAAAAATGTACTGCTTTTAGCTGTTGAGTAGAAGAGCCAGTGCAGCCTTTTATAGCCAAAGATAGAAAGCAGCAAAAGTATGGAAGAAATGAGGTTTTTTAAAGTGCAAAGGTTTGCTTCAGATACTAGAATGTGAAATAGTTTCATACAGCTCAGTTTTGACCCTTTGTTTAGTTGATAATGATGTGGTATTGAGACATATCTGTAGGATAGTTTACTCCAGACAAATGTTTAGGATGTGTCTAGTTATCTCTTAATTTGTCTTCTTTCTGTGTGTGGCTTGCCTCTTTAGGCAATACTGTATGTTAATTGCATGGAAAAAGTTGAGCCACCATGCTATGGAAAGTAGCAGAAAAAGTGCTGATTATATACTCTTTGGAAGTTTGAAAACAATACTAAACTGGAATTAGGTCAATATTCTTTCAGAGTTGTTCACCTTAATCTTCACTCTGAATGGCTAATGATTTACATGACATATATGTAATGTAAATACTGAGCATTTTTTAAATTCATTTTTTAAAAAAATTCTTAGGTGAATTGTCTTCAGGTGCTGCCAGCAATCTCCAGCCACAGGTATGGAATTTTAATTTCTATTGAAGGTAAATAGATCAGACATAAACATTTGGAAAGAGTAACCTTTTAGTTTTATGCACTTCAAAACAGCTTGTAGCTTTACTGTTAAGAAGAACCATTTAAAAATGTGATGTTCAGTCTGGCTATAGGTTATTTGAGCTTTAATGAGTTTGTTGGTAGATAAATTGAGAAATGATTGTGCATTAGTACAGCTATTAAAATAAAGGTTACTGTAAATACATCTTACAATACACAGGTAATAGCAAGAGTTAAAATGATTGGACATGAGCACAAATGGTAATGTAGAGAGTTTTCTAATAGTTTAGCAAATATAAAATTTAGTATAAATTTTGGAAGTTGGTAGCAAATCTGTTTTCTTTGCTGCATGGAATGTATAAGACTACATAATATTGCTTCTTCGCAGATCATTCTTTGCAGTATAATGTCAATGTTTTGGTATATAGATTTATTCCAAATACTTATCCAAGTGACTTCCATTAGCTGACAGGAGTTCTCAATAAATTCTATGACTGGGCATTTATAAACATGAGTCCTATCTATGTTAGCAGCTTATTAGATGCAGTTTGTAATTTTGTTTTACCAGTTTTCTGACAGTAATAGCAAAATTTTGCATTTTCTTCCTGAGTGTTTTTATTTGCATGAATGCTCAACTCATTTCTGCATGCACTTTGGATTTAAAATGAGAAACTGATCAAACAGGGGCTGGAAAGACAATAGCATGAAAAGGTGTCATTTACAGTCTAGGTTTGGTTAATTGGCCTATATAAAATATAATTAGATTTTCAAGGTACATTGCCATGAGTAGAAGAGAGCAGTTCACTAAACTTGCTTAGGGACTGGAGAATTTAAATTCTGTTGAACCTCCAGCTATAGCTGGAATGCAACCCCTTTCGTATCTTGCTCACACAACCAATAATGAGTTGCAGTTCAGAAACTGGAGAGGCATATGTTCCTCATTCCTTATCTAAAAAGCCAATTATTTCTCTGTTTGGATCATGGCAAATGTCTTTCAAAGCAGACATAGAAATCTTACTTGTTTTCTTCTTGAGCAATTTTTATCCACTATCCTATGGAAATTACTAAATGGTCAGAATAAGGGAGTATGCATTGTCAAGGGCTACAGCTTCAGAGTTTCCCACAGCTGTTTCTTTTTCTCTAATTCTCTGTTATTTAACTCATTGCTGACCCCCTTTATTCCTCTATGCAGTTTTCCACAAAAATCACTGTTTGAAATTCCAGGAACCAGGGTACATAACATAATGAGAAAATATACAATAAATCTAAATCCTTTATTCTGGGTATAGAATTTGAGTTGTGGCAGATGCAACTTGGATAATGGTATTGAAATTTAAATAACACAAGATCTCTCTACAGGCCTGGCCACGAAAAGGTCCATCCTCCCAGGATGGACAGTGGTCACTGAATTGCCAGACTTCTGACTTTTCTTCTGGTCATTCTGAGCAATATCCAAGTCCTGAATCGCAATTGATAGAGACATTGGAAGGTAAGTGTGATTTCCATGTTACTCCAGTTTTGCTGTAGTGTAAGGTACATATTCAGAGCATAATTTGGACTTTTAAACATGGAACATTACTAAAATTATAGTCATAATTGTCTCATAAGATGTTGCTAGTATGCTAGAAGTTATTTATATGAATGCCATTTTGCTTTGAGTAGAGGGAAAGCACAGCCACTATTTCATCTGAACAGTAATCTCATTGTTGAGCCTAGTTGCTGGCTTTGGGGCAGTCAAATGTTCCACTCTGCAACACACACTGTCAGCTGCTTTGCCATCCAGTGATACCAGTTCTTTTAAATGTTAGCACTGTGTTCAGATGCCGTATGAAGCAGGATCTCATAAGTCCTGTGTAAGAAGTAAAGTGAAGAGCTGTTCTTTACTTTGCCATGGGCCAGAGGCAAGGAGAAGAAGAACAAACTTTTCTGTGAGCACACATTATCACAACAGATCTGCTCTCACTGAAGATTGTTGGAATATATTCTTTGTAAAGTAAGACAAAAATTGCTTAGGAATAAATATAGAACTTTCCAAAAGAGGATCCTTATTTATTTCACCTGATTCTGGTAAACTAGTTTGTTAAAACTAAATTTAAGTACTTTTCTGTTTTGAGAGAGTTAAGCATGGCTGAAATCAGTGGAAGCCTGATGAATACCTACATTTGGCTGGATTGATCCTATTGAAACAAAAATGTTTGACCAGTTAAGCTGAAGTTTACCTCTTCCACCCTTCTCTCCCTGAACACATATAAGATTCCAAGACATATTTCTTCATGTCAAGTATGTGGTCCATAAGGTAGAGGTTTAGGTATTAAGGAGTTTAGATATTAAGGAGCATTTTTGAATAATGACTGATTGTGTGAGAATGCTGTATTATGTGGGGACATACTCTGGTTTCTCTTCAGATCAAATAATTTGTGTCAGTCATGCATGCTTTTAACCAGATCCTGGCATTTGGTACATTATATTTAAAGACAAGTCTGTGAATAGTGCCACATTTCAGGAGCAGTGCATAATTCTGGCAGATAACTGCAGTGCTAGAAGAGACTATTTCATATAGAGAAATTGCTTAATGAGAAGCAAGGGGTTGGTAGAGTTAAACTTGCTGCGAAACCCTTATTTCTCTTGCATAAAGAGGTGAGTTCATGCCACAAGGGAAGGAAGCAGCTGTAGGGAGAGGGGAATGTTTTCAGACTTGCAGGTTGTTTGCAGCTCTTTTTTCCCCACCCAGTGCTCTGTGCCAAGGGTAGGGAGTGTTGCTCTAAATAACACTTTGGCCTTTATGGAAATATCTCGTGTTCCAGGAGTCTCAGCCTGCCTCTCTCTTTACAGAGTATAGTTAGCACTTCTCCAAACCTTATATAGCAAGGACTGATTGTTAGTGTTAACAGGAATAAAACGAAACAGGGCGGGCTGCCAGATTGCATAAATCAGGCCAGTGTTTGGAATTTCATAAATGCTCTGACTTTGGGTACAGTCTGAGCTCTCTGAACAATACTGAACTGTTCTTTCTTATTTCTTTCTGTCTTGCGGGGGGGAGCTTGAGTCCCACTCATCTTGATTTTTATTCTTTTGTTTTTTGTTTTGTGTGCGTGTGGTTTTTTGTTCTTTGAATTTGGGGGGGGGCTATTTGTTTGTCCTTTTGAAGACCAAAGGAAAAGCAGCTGTAGCCACAGTCAAGCAGATGGCCAGGATGTCCAAGTGCTGGATCAGTTCTCAGGTCTGCTGCATGGTTCTTCTCCAGTGTGTGAAATAAATGAGGACCCTTTCAGACTCATTTCTGCTGTGGGCAAAGGAAATACAGAAGGGACTGCTATGCAGCTGGAAGATGTTGAGACATCTGGATCGGGACAGACTAGCACTGCAGACCAAAATAAAGTGGTCTATTCAACCATCCACCATACAAGTGACAAAAAATTGGACCCTGACACATTAGCTCATCATCACTTGCTCCAACACCCTGGTGGTGTTCAAGAAGGAGAGAAGAGCAGCATTTTGGGCAGAGTCCATCCAGGAGGCAAGCCCAAAGCAGAACTCAAACTTAGCCGCAGCTTATCAAAATCAGACTCTGACCTTTTGAGCACCTCACCAACAGAGGACGATACCATGGGAAGCAGAAGTGAATCCCTTTCCAATTGTAGCACTGGGAAAAAAAGGCTGGAGAAATCACCTTCGTTTGCTTCAGAATGGGATGAGGTGAGACTAACCTTGACTTCATAAAACTATATTCAGTGAAATAGGTATTGCTGTATGAGTTGAGCTTATCGGAGCATCTCAGAGGTAGAGTTAATGTTGTTTGACTCTAACAGTTAAAATTACCTTCCATAAATTGATCTCAGAGCTTTAAGTATATCTACATAGAACTGAGGGAGAGCGATAAAATGCTGAATTATTATTGTTGGGTTTCAGGGTGTGGATTCTTCTGGTTTGTTTATGATTTTGTGACATGAGTTCTGTTCTGCTGGGGGGTTTGATGCCGGGAAGTGGGGGCAGAAAACATGGGAGGATCAGTAGTCACACACTAAAATAGGGTTTCACAGTTAATTCCCTGATGCATAGGTTGCACAAAATAATGGGTCGCATTTCTAGGTCATCAGTGTCTGCTTTTTGTAATGAGAAAGCTCGAATAAAGAAAGGGGTGCCTCAGTATTATTTCACGGTTGTATATTTGTTCTCTTCTAGAACAGGTCATTCAAAGGATTAGCAGAAAGGCAGTTTAAGGAGATGTTATAAAATCAAGAAGCCCAGTGGACAAAGTGCTCTAATATCAGAGGCTTCATTATGTCCCAAGCCCTTCTTGTGCTACTTCCCTTTGTGGTGCTTTTCCTGTACTTCAACCAAGGCCTGAGGCATAGCTACTTTTCTCTCCATATTGGGGGCCATGGTCAGGAGCTGAAGGGGCTTTGTGCAGGCTTGAGGAAGCATCTGAGATCAGATCTTTTTCTCTGAGGACAGAGCAGCATTCAAAACCCCAGATTTCTGATAATCTTACACCGTTGGAGTTGTAGGATTGCAGCTTAAATGTGTGAAAGATCATTAACTGGTTAAATATTTCCTGAAAAAATGTTGCTTTACTGAACAAGTCAGCTGAGATTAAGTGTCCTCTTGAAAGGGCACCACAGCATTAGTGAAGCATTCTTTGCTGATTTTCACTGAGTTAAAATGAAGTTACATGAAAGATAAGAGTTCCATATTCACTAAAGGAGTAACCATAACACAAATATAAGTTTACAAGAGCTGCATGTCAAGCTTGACTAGCATGTAAAGAGGCATTCATTATCCGGCAAATGATATTGGTTGGAGTTAAAATAATGGCATAACTGTTTATTTAGAGTTTGGTTACAAAAGGATAGTGATCTGGGGTTACCTGGGTTTATAATTCTGATTCTAATGTCTTATATTTATTTGAGGAAGTGAAGACAGAAAACTCACTTATTGCTTCCTTGCTTATGATAGCAAGTCATCGATACATAACTTTTGGGCAGATTTTAATAACGAATGTGTGTCTGAGCTTGTTCTTGCTCAAATTTTCTTTCCCATAATTGGTGGTTAGAATTGACTTATCTGGAAGGGAAACTTCGTTGGAAGAACAAGTCCCAGCAACTTCATAAATTCTCCAGGATTAGAATAGCTAGATTTCCCACTGAGGAAAGACACTAAAGGGCAAGTTGTCTCCAATAAGGTTGTTAGAAAGAAAGAGAAAGTAAAAGAAATGGGCCAGGTCAGAGTGGCCTCGAGAGACAAAATAAAATCCAGGACAGATAAAATAATCCTAGTCAGATTAAAAAATGGATTAAAATATAAACTAATGCAGCAGCTGAGTTGAACTATTCATCCATCACTATCTTCCTCCCTTTCCTATTTCGAATTCAGTGATATACATATTGTTAATTGTATGAAAACTGTCAAATATTAGACTAAATTATGATTGAAGAAATGCTGGATAGCTCAGTGGTTTAGGCTTCTGACTGCAGAGCCAGAGGTCAGGAATTCGATTCCCCAGTGTGCTTCCTTGATGGGAGCGGGACTCAATGATCCATAGGGTCCCTTCCAGCTCTGCAGTTCTAAGATGATGATGATGATGATTCAAATATATTAACCCTTCAGAATAAATTTGTATACTTCCATCATGTACACTGTACCAAATATCTAACATAATGGTAGTATCCAGCATATATACTCACCATGAAGTCATTCTGAAAACATGACCCTCAGAACTGGTACTATGTGAAGTCAATCTTTGTTGAAAATAATAACCTATAATATGTAATTGAGACATAGAAAATAATAATAGGATGTTTTGCTTGGCCACAATTTCACTTGTTTTCTGAGTCAGTGCACAGCTGGTAATAATGTTTCCAAATATCCAAAATCTGTGATTCACTTGTTGAGTAATCCTTCTCTTTGTGTGTCATCTCAAGAAAGTATTTTCAGTAATAACAAACAACAACAACAAAAACAAAACACTCCAAGACACAACAAAAAGCAGCCAGAACAAACACAATAAGAAGAATATAGAAGACTCATAGTTTCTTCTTATTTCACACCTTCTTCTTCAGAATGTATCATACATATTCATGTGAGAAAGGCAGGCTTAAAAAAAAACAAGACAATAGTTGGATCTGAACTCTCACAACACGCTGGGTTCAGAAGCCTGCACAGCAAGTAGCTTCCCATAGTATCGCTGAAACAATCAAATAAAAACTAGCTGTACTACAAACATCTAAAAACAAATAATAATATGGACTGTTATCAACTGAGTTGGCAGTATGTTTCACTGACATTATGAAGTATGACTGATAGAAGTTTTCTTTAGAAATACTACATAAGATTAAGTTTTTGTTAGGAATAAGAGTTTTTGTGCATGTGCGAATTCTTGAACTGGAAATAGTTCTGTGCTTTCCATGCTATTGAGCTCTATAATTTTGATCTTGTTATGTACTAATTCCTGTTTAAAATTACTACTCTTATGAAATGCGAATAATTGCAAATGCAGTTAAAACTTTCTTTAAATGTCTTTTACATATATTTTCCCTTAAAAAGCATTTGAGTACTTTGACAATATTTTCCGCATAGAATTTAAATCCTCAGTCCATTTTTTTCTAGAGTTATTGCCTCAATCATCCTTAACGGCCATGATCAGGTTTAGAAACATTAAGATGATAGGGATCTGCTGGTCAAGTTAGGGCATGTCCAGACTGACCCTTTTGGTGCAAGCTGGTGTGGTCTAAATTGGGTTGGTTGAGGTGGGGGGAAGAGTGGACCTGACCCGACCAGATAGGCAGAATATAAATTAAATTAAATTAAATCAAATTAAATTATTTGGTGTGATCCTCATATCCAAAAGACATATCAACCTCAAAGTGGCATGTTTGTGCAAAACCAGATTTTGGAAGAAAGGAAAGGGAGGTGAGATCAAGTATGGCTGGGAAGGGCAGGCAGGGGAGGCAGAGAAAGACAGAGGGAAAAGTTATGTGTGATGGTGCAAGGGGAGTACAGTGGTGCCTCAACTTATGACCACAGTCCGTTCCAGAAGCTGATGTGACTCGAAATGGTCGTAAGTCGAAGCATGCATTCCAGCAAAACAAAACAAAAACAAAAACAAAAAACAGAAAAATGAAATAAAAATAAAACACTGCAAGCCCCATAGGAATGTGCTGGGGCTGGAAAAAAAACCCGATCACAACACAGAAATAAACAGAGCAAGTCCCACACTGGGACTGCATTTAAAAAATCACCTAAAAACAAACAACAGCATAGAAACATACCCCCCCCAGCCCAAGACAACCCTGAAAAACTCACTCAGAACAGTTTTTTTTTTTTTAAAAAAAGCAGCATCTTACCTTAGCAAGCTTCCTTTGGCATTGCTTCCGGGAGCCAGGATCCCCGTTCCAGAAGCTGATGTGACTCAAAATGGTCATAAGTCGAAGCATCCATTCCCATAGGGAATGCATGGGAACGCAATTAATCCGTTCCAGCAAACAAAACAAAAACAAAAACAAAAAGCAAAAAATGAAATAAAAATAAAACACTGCAAGCCCCATAGGAATGTGCTGGGGCTGGGAAAAAAACCGACCACAACACAAAAATAAACAGAGCAAGTCCCACACTGGGACTGCATTTAAAAAATCACCTAAAAACAAACAACAGCATAGAAACATACCCCCCCCAGCCCAAGACAACCCTGAAAAACTCACTCAGAACAGTTTTTTTTTTTTTAAAAAAAGCAGCATCTTACCTTAGCAAGCTTCCTTTGGCATTGCTTCCGGGAGCCAGGATCAGGGCTCCCTCCACTCCCATGCCGAGGAGAGGTGAGGAGCGCTGAGGCCCGACGCAGCCGCCCCGGCGAGCAGCGGCTGGAGCCAGTGCCGAAGGCTTGGCTTTAGGCTGACCCAGAAGAGGGTCCTTCTCACCTGGGATTGATGGAGGACCATAATTAAGCATTGTGCGGTTTGTCCAGGAGCTTTGTCCATCTCAGTGCTTCTGCTGCTTGCAAATGCCCTCCCTGCCAGGCGGGGCCCTCTTCAGGGGGAAGAGAAAGGCTCCAGGTGGAGCTGCTATGGGGTTGGTCTGCTCCCGTTCACTTTTTGCCTGGGGTTGGTCGGGTGGGCAGAAGCTGGCCAGCCCTCTTTCTGCACAGCGGGATCCCACTTACTGCCGTCAGCACAGCAACTCTCGCCTGAACCCCGAACCTTTCCAAGGGCTGGAAAGCTGCCTGCCTGCTGCTCTGGCTGCTAAAGAGCACCTGGCCAGCACTAGCATCCAGGGTGATGGGCCAACCTGCTCCATCTTCTGACACCCAGAGGTGCTGAGTGAGCCCCCCCCCATCCTGGAGGACATGGCCGCCCCGGCAAGCAGCCGCTGGAGGTGGTACCTTTACCAGAGCGGGAGGCGGCGGCGGGCACCACCAGCGGGCAACTGACCTGCTGCTCAGGAACCACCCGCCGGTGGAGAAGGTGAGCCGCCCCCAGGGATCCAAGGGCTGAGCACGGCCCCATCATGCCAGGGGCTGCGGCGTGGGAGGACCCTTCCTCCAGGAGCCAGGATCAGGGCCCCCACATCGAAGCCGAGGCCCAGGACCCAGCAGCAGCAGCATTGGCCCCGCAGAGGGGTGGCAACGAGTGCCAAGGGATACCCCCATTCCCTCCCCCTGCTGCTGCATCCCTTTCCCTAACCGTGGGGGCGAAAGAGCTACA